ATTTCGCGTCGAGTATCCCGATTAAAGCAAAACACTGATAGTGGTCTTTCGGCATCTGCACTGGGGATTGGGTACCGTTTCGAGGGACTCTTCTCTTCGCTGCGGTATGCATTGCACCCTTGACGTAGAGGAAGCTGGCACAGACAAACGGGTCAGGAGAGTTGGCTAGTCGGCTTATCTGGTCGTCCTGTAAACCCGTGCATTTGAAATACCACCAGGCCTTGCAGGCGTGGCATTGCATTCCGCGTTTGACGTTCGACGGGCAGCCATTCCTCCCACATCTATTGTGGTCTACCAATGGCTGCGGAGGGCAATCGGTATGAATTGACGTCATGTTTCGGACTAGATGTAAAATAGGTGTGCGCAAAATATAAGGGGTTATCACTCAAACGTTTTGTTAGCGTAATAAAATTCAACAATTACTCGTGTGTACTCTGTGAATAGATTGAACAACGAAAAAAATGTTCACGAATTTGCACGAGGGAAAAACGAAACCGATTTCGAACGTACCGCGGTTCACGGATTCATGAAGGACTAGACTTGTACAGGGTGTAAGTTGGCACAGGGAAATAGGAAAAAAAGAAAAGAATACAACCAGGCCAGTAACGCTGCACATTTTGTTCAAGTTGGCGTTTAATTTCTTTATTAGCTTAAAGCGGGTCAGGAGGATAGGAAGAGGTGATAGCAGAATCCTTTACTTGACCACCAACTGTAACGTCGCCAAACTCAAATGCGCCCTGGACCTGATTCGTAGAGGAGGTCAGAGGGAATCCGAGTATTAAGTAGGGTGGCAGCAGTTTTAAAGGCGAGGAATTTGTCTACAGACTGAGAAAAAGTAAGGTGATGCGTGGTGCTTCGCAGTTGCTCAGGAAGGCTGTTCCAGATGCAAGCGTAATAAACTAGAAAAAGGTAGTGGCCTAGGTTTGTACGAGCTGGGGGACACACTAAGAGGTTGCAGTAGTTCCAGAGTCTGTAGCGAGGTTGTGCGTTTCTACGAGTTTATACTTGGTCTAACCTCTGCTACAAAAGCGTTCCTATGCGGCAGACGGTGTAAGAGAGCTGGATTCAATTTTAACATGCTAAGCCACAGTGGTTCGAGGCCTGGGATTTGACAGCGGGAGCGGTGAGAGAGGAGGTTTGACCGAAGAAAGAGCTTTTTCGTAAATGAGCGTTGGATACTTTCAGTTGCGAGTCTGGAATTTTGGGTGCAAAGGGAGGAGAATGCGGGACAGAATTCGACGATGGGTCGTACGCATAGCTTAACGATTGCTACCATTGTGTCTGGCAGGTGGCAGGAGCGCAGTACTAAAGAGCTGAGCCTGCGTGCTCTTGCAACCTGGAACTGTACCTGGTGGGAAAAGCTTAAGGTGCATGGAGACCGAGATCTTTGACCTCCATGGAATAGGCGATAGGATTTCCGTTAGTTGTGAAGGCGTCAGTCGGGTGAGAGCATCGGCAGGAAGTTATACGGGATTTTGCAGAGGAGTAGCTTGGGCCAGATTTGTTTGACCAGCGAGTCAGTGAATCTAAGTCTTGCTTAATCTGGTGAAAAGAAGGGGCCTTTACAGAGCAGAAGAATGTGTACGCAATTTTTATCGTCCTTGAAGAGGAAAGCCTTACCATGGGATATGGCGGCGAAGATGTCACTGAAGTACAGTAAGAAAAGGATGGGGTCTAGCACGCTTCCTTGGATAACTCTGCTAGTGCTCGGTAGTGGAGATGATTGCATGTCCCCAAACACTGGTGCCCACGGCACTAAGTTTGTGTAGCGGGGAGGCGTGGGGGACCTGGTCGAAGGCTATTTGAATGTCCAGATAGACCGTTACGGTGGAGTATCCGGCGTCGTAGGCTGCTGTGACGGTCTCAAAGAAGTGAAGCTGGCAGCCATTTACGGATCTTTGAGATAGGAATCCGCACTGTCTGTCATCTATGGGGTTTGTAGCTAGGAGAAACCTGATTAACGGGCCTTTGACCAGACGTTCAAGGGTTCTCAGTAGGGGAGGGATGGTGGATTCCTCTGTATTATGAAAGAGTTTGTCTACATCCGGATTCAAAATGCGGTTTGATTGTATATTTCTTCTACTGGGAGGGGACGATTTCATAGTTTAAAGAGTGGGTGAAAAGATTTAATACAAGGATTCCGATATCTTGGCCGCCTTGTTTCAGGATACGGGATGGGAGGCCGTCGGCCCCTGGCACAACAGAGTCCTTGATCTTCAGAATAAGGGAAGAGACATCAGCCAGGGAGATGGTTACGTTACTGATAGTCCTGACAGTTCACACTTTGGAGGTAAACAGCTGTGGGTATGGGTTTGGTGTCAGGAGTAAAGGGTGAGTAGCAGCTGGCGAAGTAAGCGTTTAAATGGTCTGCTATGCTGACAGGATCAGTGATGGGGCCACTGTCTTAGGAACGCAGACAAGTAATTGAATGGCTGTTTACGGTGCAACGCCTAAGGAACAGTCGGCTCAGTAAGTTGGATTGAAAGGGAGATCTGAGGACGGCGTTCTCTTCTCGGCGTTCGAGAGATACCCGCAAGGATTCTCGGTCAGCAGAGAGTTTGTTGATGAGAATAAGCAGTTAGAAATCCTGAGATTTCCGATATTCTCTACTAGCCCGGTGTATTTTGGCATCCAAGGTTTTTATTAACCTATCGTGGCCGGGTTTATTAACGTAAAAGCGCCTTACAGGAGAAACAAGGTGAAAAGTAGTCAGTAGGTTTTGGTAAAAGATATCGCTGACGCGGTGTGTATTTCTTGACAAGAAGAAGTCATACCAATCTCGGGAAGCCAACGTGGACGAAGAAGCTTGTAAAATATCCGGTGAGAGGAGATGAAACAAGGATGGACTCAGAGGAGCAGCTTGGCCATAACTAACTACGTCGCACGGGACAATACAGTGGTCACTTCCTGGGAAGCGTGGGCTAACTGCAGCTGTAGCCAAATGGCCAACGTTGGAGAATATTAGGTCCAGAATATGTAGGCCGCGAGTGGGACTTCGTACAATTTGGGACCAGCCCTCCACACCAAGTTGCGCAAGCAGCGCGGTGTAACGGGCGGGACCAATGGCGGAGGACCAGGAGATTTTCGGCCGGTTGAAGTTAACTGAAATTTACATAGTCCATTTAATATCACCACTAGGTTGGCTTACCCTGATTTTACCACTCCGAAATTGGATACAAAAAGCAACACCCTTATCAGTAAACGGTGATTCGGTAAAATGAACACATGACCAGAAAACCGCAGCCTTTTGTGCAGAACGCAATCTGAAATTGAAACCCTTTTTGCGCAAAAGAATAACCGTTTTTAGCCGTCAACCGGCGAGTCCATTAGCACCAGCCTACATAAGACATGGTTCAAAAGAAATGGCTACCGAAGAAGTCTCCGTTTCCCTGTAAACAAGGGCGAAGTCACAAGCCGTACAACAAAACAGACCATAAAGTGGCCTCACAAGGTCTCTTTAACTACAGGAATAGGTCGATTCGCTGATGAAGATACTTCAGACGTGAATCACGACGTGAACCCTGGAGATCTGTAAACTGATTTTACATGTCACAGTGACATTGGAACACACAACCTCTAAAGTATGAGAAGAGTTCGACAACTTTATGTGAACCCATTGGATATCATTGACGAGAGCGGGAGATCTGTGTCCAAAAGCAATGTGTGAAATTTTACGGGGATCCAGGCTCGAAAGTGAGATGAATTTGGTCGTGCTAACCAAAGTGCACACTCACATTCACTTTGGCGGGGACGAAGACGTCGCCCGCGCATTCCAGAACAGGATTGCAGTCAGCGACCATCTCAACATTAGGGTACTGAAAGCATAGCGTTCGTCTCACTACCGCGATGAACACGAAATCGAATAGAGGTGAAGAGAGTTGGTATCATTTTGAAAGGAAAAGGGCCTTCGCCGAGGTGTTTATTGGAAAACGCCGACTGAACAGCTACGGACTATTCGACAAGGAAGCAAAACTCTCATATGCATCTTGTATGCAAAGACTGAATATCCATCTTCTTGAGCGCGCCTTCCCGAACCCTCTTAGATACTCATTGACTGGTACTCAAGTGCAAGTAATTGCTACAAAGCGACTCTTCAATAGACTCAAAGCGGATTTACGAGAAGACATACTACATGCATGCCTCATCAGTAGTATCCACCGTTAAACACCTTCACATTTAAGGTTGTTAGTGTGCTGTCGACTTTAAGTCACCGCCGTCAAGTCGGCTTCAGCAACGGGCCCACTCAGCCACTTATCGGGTATATCATGCCACTTACAAAGCCGTGTCCAATCTACTCTTTACGATCCCGACAGTCTTGAGTTTTATAGACACTCCACTGGACCTGGTCATGGATTACCCGGCTCCTGAGACCCCATTCCACCCCTTCTGGGACTCTGATGATCCTTCCACTTGACCTTCGTGCCTATGGTGAATGTCCGTTCCTTTCTACTTGGCGTTTACTGCCTAGTCCTTTCCTGAACGGCGGTCAATTTTTTCCGAGCTCTCCTCATTTCTTCCCCCAGTCGCCCCACAGACAAGCGTGTTGCTGGCCACAACCCAAGTTTTAGGCCAACCGGAATGCGCGGATGTCGACCGTACATGAGCATGAACAGGGACTTGCCTGTTGTTGAGTTATGGAAGCACGATAAACTGACAATGCCAGTGGCAGGTTCACTCCTGAGTCATCTCTTTGGCCGCCAGCCACTACTTGGTCGCTCGGTTATTACGTTCGGTTAGGTCATTTTTTCGCGAGTGGTATGGTGCCGTCCTCAGCCGTCTGATACCCAGCTTCTGTAAGCAATTCTTGAACCCATCGCTCCAAAATTAAGGCCACTGATTAGCTAGGATCATTTTTGGCACCCCATGGTTGGCCACGACGCGAAGCATTATCACTCGGCTGATCGTCGCCTGTTGATTTGACACGGCTGCCACCTCGATCCACCGCGACAGGTGATATGTTATTATCACGATGTATTGGTTCCCACTGGTTGTCACCGGAAAGAGGCCCATGACGTCAACGGACCATAACTCGCCAATATGTGAGACAGAACTGAGTTCTACGTAATGGGGTGCCCCTGTCATACTCCCTTCATCAGTTGGTACCACCACACAATCCATCACCTCACTTCTCATTCCGCGCCAGTAGGCTGTCTGCCGAAGCAGGTCTAACGTTTAATGAATCCTGTGTGCGCCACCTAGCAACATTCGTCTATAAGGTCCCGTCTCAAGGGGCGTGGCATCACCGGCAACACAACATCAGAATCGGTGGTGTCACGGCTAACTATTCCAGCTCCATTCAGAATCGGCCGATCAGAGTGACTATGGAACGTTCCCTATTTCCTGCCTCCCTCTCCGTTCTCAATACTCCTTCTTTCCAAAAAGGCGGCTGCAACCTTCCATAACACAGGATACTGCCCTTGGAGTTGCAACAACCTTCCAAAGTCCAGTTCATCGACGGGACTATTGGCCCTAATCATGATCCTGGGTGCCTCATCTTCAGCCTCCGTTTTTGACAGTTAATCAGCCAAGCGGTTCTCCTTTCCTGGTACGTGGTGGATCGTGAGGTCGTACTCTTGTAACCGGAGTGCCCAGCGTGCGAGCTTTCCGCGAGGATCTCTGGTGACCTGATTTACTCTACGGGTTTGTGACCGGATTTTGGCGTGAGATCTTTATCCAAGCAAGTATCACCTCCACTTATCCAGGGCCCAGACGATCGCTAAACATACGTTCTCAATGGTCTAGTACTTCTGTTCAGCGGTAATCACGATACGGCTAGCATATTCGATAACTCCGTCCCTCTGCCTCAGGACTGCGCCGATACCGCGACTACTAGCGTCCGTAGCAACAGTGAACATCTCTCCGACCCTGGCAGTTTGAGGGTCAGTTGCGGATCCAACATCCGCGCTTTGACATGCTCGAGGGCTACATGCGCTTGCTTGGTCCATTTGAATTTCCGATTTCGCCCGAGCAAGTCGTAGATTGAAGCAACAACCGTATTGAAATCCCTAACAAACCGTCTGCAGCATGCCGCCAATCCAAGAAACCGTCGTAAAGACTGCTTGGAATAGGGGAAAGCACATTCCTTGATCTTTGTCAATTTCTCTGGCAGTCGATTAAACTCTCTGTGACACACTTTATGCCTCAGCACTGTCACCAAACTCCGAGTGAGTTGTGTCTTGGATTCATTTATCCGCAGGCCATCCCCCGGACACGCCTCAATATGGCTTTCAGGCGAACTGCGTACTCTAATTTCCAATCACTGTACACAACGATATCGTCTCAGTACACGGCAACATTCTGGAGTCCCTTCGCTAGACGAGGCACCAAGCGCCGGAGTTTGAATGGTGCCTCAGACAAACCAAACGGCATCCTCCCAAGTTGGTATTAGGTTTTCCCAACCGTAAACGTCGTTTTCTCACGGTCCTCCGCCTGGATAGGTGTTTGCCAGTATCCGGAACGCAAATTAAACAGTGAAATATCGGGAATGCTGGATGGAATAGAAAATCTCCACAACCGAAGCCACAACTACACCTCGATCAACGGTCAGTTCATTAAAGCGCCGGAACTCCACGCAAAACCTGTGTTATTCGTTCGCCTTCCTCACAAGCACAACTGGGGAATCGTACGCACTATTGGCTCCTTCGATTACGATATTATACAACATCTTTTGAATCCGGTTATGGACCTCCTCCCGTAGATGGAGCGGCAATGGACGGAGGCCGTAAGGCCAAAAGCGTTATGACGATAGGGGAGTTTTGTGTTCAAATGACGGGCAGAAGTCAAACAGATTCTCATCGCCCGTGAACAGTCCGGAGTATTCCTCGACCACAGATTATACTGACAGCAGGTTACAAGAAAGAAGCTTTCGGACATGCAGTTCCCTCACGGCAGAACTTGGATGACCTTTAAGCTTGACTGTGCCATACCTTACCACCAGCCTCCCCTGCTTCAGGCCAACCGCAGAATCGTTGCTCTTGAGAAAATCCACCCCCAATGTTGTCTGCTCTATGTCTGGGCTGACCAGGAACGCGTGCTGCACGGACTTGTCAACAAGGCGAATTAAGTGAAATTGGCAATCCGTCAATTTTCGACCGACATCCACTAACTGCCCGCACGGCCAGTGCGCAGGGCCTGCATTCAGCCTGGCTCCCTCTCTGCCTCAGCGATACCCCTTCTCCTGTGTCAGCACAACTTTTTCTTCCAGTCTATCCAGATAACCGCTTGTGTGGTATTCTGTGTCACTGCGCTAACCGCAATCTAGCCTGGAAAAGGGGAGTACAAGTGGTCGGGTAGAACGACATTGATTTCTTGGGTGTCCAGGCCTACCACACTTGTGGCACCGGCTCGTTCGAGCGTGCCGCCGCAATTCCGTCTTTATGGTTGCGAGTTGGTCCGCAGTTCCTCCACTAGTGAACCATTCCTCTCCTCTTTCGACTGCAACCTGGTGCTAGGGGTGCCCCGGTCAATTACCGTGCCGGATGCATCAGCTCTTCTACTCCAAACTATCCAGCTGTTCTCGCCAACCACAACGAGGCGCCAAGCGCCGGTCGTATATTAACCCGGTCAGTATTCCGTCCAGCAGCCCCCGAAATCTTTTATAAGTCCTCCAAGGGGGTCCGAACACCCCCGTTCTCGTCAACCACAACGAGGCGCCAAGCGCCGGTCGTATATTAACCCGGTCAGTATTCCGTCCAGCAGCCCCCGAAATCTTTTAT